CAGAGAGGGGTAGAGGACACTAAATGGAGGCCAGTGTAGAAATTGACAGAGATGGAGGACACTGAATGGAGGCCAGTGGAGGGATTGGCAGAGAGGAATGGAGGCCAGTGGAGGGATTGGCAGAGATGGAGGACACTGAATGGAAGCCAGTGGAGGGATTGGCAGAGAGGGATGGAGGACACTGAGTGGAGGCCAATGGAGGGATTGGCAGAGAGGGGTGGAGGACACTAAATGGAGGCCAGTGGAGAAATTGACAGAGATGGAGGACACTGAATGGAGGCCAGTGGAGGGATTGGCAGAGAGGGATGGAGGACACTGAATGGGGGCCAGTGGAGGGACTGGCAGAGAGGGGTGGAGGACACTGAATGAAGGAAAGTGGAGGGATTGGCAGAGAGGGGTGGAGGACACTGAATAAAGGCCAGTGGAGGGATTGGCAGAGGGATGGTGGGACACTGAATGGAGGCCAGTGGAGGGATTGGCAGAGAGGGGTGGAGGACACTGAATGGAGGCCAGTGGAGGGATTGGCAGAGAGGGATGGAGGACACTGAATGGAGGCCAGTGGAGGGATTGGCAGAGATGGAGGACACTGAATGGAAGCCAGTGGAGGGATTGGCAGAGAGGGGTGGAGGACACTGAATGGAGGCCAGTGGAGAACTGGCAGAGAGGGGTGGAGGACACTGAATGAAGGAAAGTGGAGGGATTGGCAGAGAGGGGTGGAGGACACTGAATAAAGGCCAGTGGAGGGATTGGCAGAGGGATGGTGGACACTGAATGGAGGCCAGTGGAGGGATTGGCAGAGAGGGGTGGAGGACACTGAATGGAGGCCAGTGGAGGGATTGGCAGAGAGGGATGGAGGACACTGAATGGAGGCCAGTGGAGGGATTGGCAGAGATGGAGGACACTGAATGGAAGCCAGTGGAGGGATTGGCAGAGAGGGGTGGAGGACACTGAATGGAGGCCAGTGGAGAACTGGCAGAGAGGGGTGGAGGACACTGAATGAAGGAAAGTGGAGGGATTGGCAGAGAGGGGTGGAGGACACTAAATGGAGGCCAGTGGAGAAATTGACAGAGATGGAGGACACTGAATAGAGGCCAGTGGAGGGATTGGCAGAGAGGGATGGAGGACACTGAATGGAGGCCAGTGGAGGGATTGGCAGAGAGGGGTGGAGGACACTGAATGGAGGCCAGTGGAGGGACTGGCAGAGAGGGGTGGAGGACACTGAATGAAGGAAAGTGGAGGGATTGGCAGAGAGGGGTGGAGGACACTGAATAAAGGCCAGTGGAGGGATTGGCAGAGGGATGGTGGACACTGAATGGAGGCCAGTGGAGGGATTGGCAGAGAGGGGTGGAGGACACTGAATGGAGGCCAGTGGAGGGATTGGCAGAGAGGGGTGGAGGACATTGAATGGAGGCCAGTGGAGGGATTGGCAGAGAGGGGTGGAGGACACTGAATGGAGGAAAGTGGAGAGATTGGCAGAGAGGGGTGGAGGACACTGAATGGAGGCCAGTGGAGGGATTGGCAGAGAGGGGTGGTAAATATGTTGGCAGAGAGGGGTGGTAAATATGTAACGGTTAGTAAGGTGGATGAGTCTGGCAGCAGCATTCATGATAGACATCATTCTCCCAGCTGAAGATGGTGGGCTTCTTTTGAGGTATAATTTACATGTGTAATCATTGATGGAAGGTATGGACCACGAGTCAGCAACAAAATGATGAAACATAACTTAGACTTCAGTATTTATATTCAACACAAGGTGGTGATCTCATTTGAAAAACACACAGAGAGGAAGTGATGTAACCAAAGACAGGAAGTGATGTGGCTTAACAGAAGGGAAGTGATATAAGGTATGGACAGGAAGTATAAACAGGTTTTTCAGATAAAATAGGAGTTGGAGGGAAGTATAGAGGAGCATTATTGGAACGAGCAGCAGAGGAGGTAATAAGATCTTATTTTATATTTACATCCAGTAACCCCCCCCCGTCACGTCCATCCTCTTTTTCCATTGTCACTGTGTTTTATAGACCTGATACATCCTAAATATATATCCTTGAGTGAGGAGGTAATTTTTGTGAGGAGTCAGGAGGTCACAGTGTATCTCTCCATGGAGGAGTGGGAGTATTTAGAAGGAATAATTAAACATACATTAAAACCATTAACCAAAATTCATATATAATAATCACTTAATATACTTAAAAAATTCATAATATTAATACATATCCGTGATTATAAAATTGCTAAATCAATAATACATCATTTTTAGTGAAAAATGTAAATCTCAAAAAAAATTGTGAATAAATACTCATATATATATATATATATACTTAATTAATATTGCGTAGAAACAGTGTCCCATAAAACATAAAAATAGTGACTTAGTGCTTTAATTAATCTTCAATCCGTGATTACATATGAATCCGTGACTGTTTGTGAATCCTCCCATTAGTGCAGATGTAAGCTCACCTCCTTATCTGCCTATAATTAGGCTATATGCGCTTTTGGTTCTCCTCCTATGGAACCTGCTTGATTAAGACTCTTTCCTTTTTAGATAGTGGATATCCTTTATCACTGATTTTCCCCTCTGGGATTGATCCCTCCTCACGAGGACACAAGCCCCCTATACTCTCCTCTCCATACGTCTCTCCACATATAGGGAAAAAATTCCAAATATAGTGTTTTATCCTTTTAAAATATAGCTTTATTATCTCCAAGTAATACACTCACATTTGCTGTGATCAATATAAGGCATTTCAGATGTAAAACGAATCCTCCGCTGACCGTTGAAGCATGCACCCGCCGTCTGGCAAACAATCCAGCTCCCTTTGAGTGACGTTGCAGTCCCACCTCTACGCGTTACGCCACTGGTCACGTGGCTTCATCAGGGGGTTTTGATAGCACTTTTTTCACTAAAAATGATGTATTATTGATTTAGCAATTTTATAATCACAGATATGTATTAATATTATGAATTATTGAGTTTTTTAAGTATATTAAGTGATTACTATATATGAATTTTGGTTAATGGTTTTAATGTATGTTTAATTATTCATTTCACTTGTTCATATATGATTATTTATATTGGGTATAGATAAGTGATTACAAGTATTAAATAATTATCAAGGAGCGCAACACATTATGGTGATATAAGTTGTGTACACAGTGGTAGTTATGTGTTGGGTGTTTGCGATCCAATAATATTTAGGACATACTCTGTCCAGTTTTGTGCGTTAGGGTGGTTATCTAATTTGGCTCGCAAGATATATAAACATTTTTTATAGTATTTAGAAGGACACAAGGATCTCTACAAGGATGTCATGATGGACAATCAGCCGCCCCTCACATCACCGGGTAAGAGGAGACTTTATTGTAAAGGAGAGAGCAGTACGGAGGGTCCACCATCATCAGGAAGATGGATCCAGTAATGGGAACCCACCAGAGAGATGTCCCCGTCCTCTGTATTCCTGGGATTCCACACAGGAAGGTCACGCCGTCCCCCGCCATCATCAGGTAGATGGATCCAGTAATGGTAACCCACCAGAGAGATGTCCCTGTCCTCTGTATTCCCAGGATTCCACAAAGGAAGGTCACACCATCCCTCACCATCATCAGGAAGATGGATCCAGTAATGCGAACCCACCAGAGAGATGTCCCCGTCCTCTGTATTCCCAGGATTCCACACAGGAAGGTCACACCATCCCTCACCTTCATCAGGTAGATGGGAATGAGCATGTAGACCTAAAATGTGTTTGTGATATGGGATGGCATTCCTGCATGTCATCTCTTGCTCCTTTTTACCAATGTATTCTTTCATCTTTGGGGTTTAGGTGAAGAACTAAAAGACATCAAGGTTGAAGTTAAAGAGGAAGAAGAAGAGACGTTGGTGAGTGGAGATCAGCAGTCTATGGAGAAGGGTTGTCCTCTGTATTGCCAGAATTCTACACAGGAACATCAGAACTATACAGAGAATGATCAGGTAGATTGTATGGGGTAAAAAATAATTGTATGAGAAGACATTCTTTTATGTAATCTATTGTTATTGGCAGCAGTGTGTCCAGATGTTATATTGTATTGTCTTTGGGGTTTAGAATGAAGAACTGAAAGACATCAAAGCTGATCTTAAAGAAGAAGAGATGTTGGTGAGTGGAGATCAGCAGTCTATGGAGGGGGAGAGGATTATGAAAAGTAAACAGGAGGAATCTTCTCTACATATGGACACAAGTACGTAACAAATACTAAATGCAGAAACTGTTCACATTCTACTTAAGTATAAAGCATGTATTTTAGAAAAACAAAAAAGCAGTTGATAAATAGGAGGGCAGAAAAGCCACATAAAGTTTGTCTATAATTAATTAACATTTAAAGAGTTCCTTCTTCGTTCCAAAAGGCAAATAAATTCAGATCAACATTCTACAATGATTCTTATTACAAATATTAGAAGCTCTTCCAGTCTGCTAGAACAAGTTCCCATGGAAGACTATGAAAGGTCCATCTCCATTCCTCAATACAAGATCATATTCCCAACAAATGAGGAGGAGATACTGGACACCATATGAAAGGTCCATCTCCATTCCTCAATATAATGTCACGTTCCCAACAAATGAGGAGGAGATGAAGGGTCCACCTACATGTCAGAAGTAGCACCTGAGGCCCCATATAACTTGTCTTTACCACCACTGCTGTACATTTTATGAACTCTGTATCTCTGCTCATCAGTCCCATTCTTCACCATAATATATATTAAATATTGCTTTCCAGCAGGTGGACAGTGTTCTCGGAATATAAATACATCGGAGGGATATCTTATTATATCTCCAGATTGTAAGGCAGAAGATACAGACATTCCACCATATTTTTCAAAAGTGAATTCCTATTGGTCGGTTAGATCAATGGATCCTTCTAATCCCAAGGAATCTTCTGATAGATCCCATACTATGACTTCTGATGTCCATCTAAGATTAATGAATCCTTCTAATCCTGAGGAATCTTCTGATAGGTCCCATACTATGACTCTAGATGTCCATCCAAGTTCTCACAGTGTTGGCAGATCAACAGATCCATCCAATCCCCAGAAATCTTCTTCAGGCCATAAGGGGGTTTACACAGGAGAGAGGTCGTTGTCATGTTCGGTGTGTGGGAAATGCTTTACTAAATACCAAAAACGTCTAAGACATCAGAATCTTCACACCGTTGAGCGTCTGTATTCATGTTCAGAGTGTGGGAAATGTTACATTCAAAAAGTACAACTTGTTATACACCAGAGAACTCACACAGGTGAGCGTCCATTTTCATGCCCAGAGTGCGAGAAAAGATTCTTTCAGAAAGCAGACCTGGATTCTCATCAAAGAATCCACACCGGTGAGCGTTTGTATTCATGTTCAGAGTGTGGGAAATGTTTCATTCAAAAAGGACAACTTGATACACATCAGAGAACTCATACAGGTGAGCGTCCATTTTCATGCCCAGACTGCGAGAAAAGATTCATTCGGAAAGCAGACCTGGATTCTCATCAAAGAATCCACGCTGGTGAGCGTCCTTATCTATGTTCAGAGTGCAGGAAATCTTTCTATGAAAACCAAGACCTTCTTCATCAGAGAACTCACAGTGGTGAGCATCCTTTTGTATGTTCAGAGTGCGGGAAAAGTTTCAGTCGCAAAACACAACTTATTTTACACCAGAGAGTTCACACGGGTGAGCGTCCCTTACCTTGTTCAGAGTGCGGGAAATCTTTCTGTCAGAAAAATGTACTTCTTGAACATCAGAGAATCCACACAGGCGAGCGTCCTTATTCGTGTTCAGAAATCCTTCAGTTATAGAAGATACTTTGTCGAACACCACAGAATGCCCACGGGTGAGCGTCCTTTTTTATGTCCAGACTGCGAGAAAAGATTCAATCATAAAGCAGCCCTGATTTCTCATCAAAGAATCTACACCGGTGAGCGTCCGTATTCATGTTCAGAGTGCGGGAAATGTTACATTCAAAAAGGACAACTTGTTATACACCAGAGAACTCACACAGGTGAGTGCCATTTTCATGCCCAGAGTGTGAGAAAAGATTCATTCGGAAAGCAGACCTGGTTTCTCATCAAAGAATCCACACGGGTGAGCGTCTCTTCCCTTGTTCAGAGTGCGGGAAATCTTTCAGTCAGAAAAATGTACTACTTGAACATCAGGGAATTCACACAGGCGAGGGTCCTTATGCTTTTTCAGAGTGCGGGAAATCCTTCAGTTATAGAAGATTCCTTGTCAAACACCACAGAATTCACACGGGTGAGAGTCTTTTTTTTCCTGGCCAGAGTGCGGAAAATCTTTCACTGAGAAAAAGGAACTTTATAGACACCACAAGAATCTCACGGGTGAGCTCCCCTATTTCTGGCCAGAGTGCGGGAAATCTTTCATCTTTAAAAAAAAGACCTTGTTAAACACCAGAGAATTCACATTTGCGAGCGTCCCTATTCATGTCCAGAGTGCGGGAAATGCTTCACTTTGAAAGGAAACTTTGTGCAACACCAGAGAATTCACACAGGAGAGCGTCCTTTTTCCTGTTAAGTGTGCTGGAAATCTTTCACGCTAAAATCTAGTCTTGTTGTACACTAGAGAATTCACACGGGGGAATGTCTTTTATACATGTTCAGAGTGCGGGAAATCTTTCACCAAAAAAGAGATCCTTGTTAAACACCAGAGGGTTCACACGGGGGAGCGCCCTTATTTGTGTTCAGAGTGCGGGAGATGTTTCTATATTAAAGGAAACCTTGTTAACCTCCCTAGTGGTCTGATTATTTCAGATTTTTGGTGCTGAAAGCAGTACCATTATTTTGCATGGAAATATGTAGTTTTTTTTTTATTGTAGGCTGTAATTTTTAGGAATAACTCTGAAATCTGTCCGAACAAGAGTCTATTAAACATCCCGGGTATGATAAAATTTGAAACACGAAATCGTAAATTATGATTTAATAAATAATATAATAACATTTAATTCAATTTTAATTCAAACATTTAATATAATCAAACCAAAAACACTGAAATTTGAAATATAGCGCCAAGTTCGCACATTGCTGAGCAAAGTCGCAAAATTGTTTTCAGTGTCTGATAACGAATTTCCCCCACGAATCATTATCACTCAATTCTGCAAGTGATTCTGATTTACTATCGCTGTTCTCTAGCTGATCTAAACCCGCTTTTGACCTAAAGGGACACTTTTTGGACGCCATGGACTTTTCTCAGTTTCCAGGCAGAAAGAACAATCAAAATGCAGACAGGGGACAGGACAAAGCACTAGGGACAAAATGTATGTGAAATGGGTTGAAACAGCAATGTTTTGCTATGTAAAATTTGTTTGGAAAAAAAATGAAATTTTTTTAAATTTTCAAATTTCCCGCCGCCGGTGGCGCCCGTACGTCCCGACGTCACAGGGACCGGAACACAGAAGCCGGATGGCGGCATCGGCCGGAGGAGATGGCCGGGGACACTGCAGGGGACACATCACGGGAGCGAAGGACAAGGTAAGCTCTGCAGGGACTCCCTATGCAGCGCCGCATGGTAAGCCCGAGTGTAGCTTTTGACACTGACATTTTATCCCGAGCTACACTCGGGAATACCGCTGGGGAGGTTAAACACCAGAAGAAACACGCCACCCAGCGTCCTCACTGCATTCAGAGTGCGGGAAATGTTTTATAGATTAAAAAAAAAACAACCTCTGAGATAGAGGCGACCTGCCTGATGATTCTTTTGACAAATGTACGATGGATTTTACAGGTGGAACTGTTGAGTCCACAGAACATTTGGAGGCAGGGCCGTTGATAATGGGGTACCACCAGTCGTCCTGTATGGGGCCCAGGCCAGTTGGATGTGGGCAGGGAGGGTGATCGTCGTGGTGGGGGGGGGGGGGGCAATTACTGGAACCGATCCCCCTGTAAGGCTCTCTCTGCAGCAGCTGAAAGCCAGCAGCAGGGAGAGGAGGAGAAGCCGGCTTTCAGCTGCTACAGAGAGAACCCTACAGGGGAGGAGCTGGGTGAATCGGATGTGGGCAGGGAGAGTGATCGATGTCGTGGGGGTGCAATTACTGGAACCGATCCCCTGCATGGTTCTCTTTGCAGCAGCTGAAAGCCAGTAGGAGGGAGAGGAGGAAAAGCCAGCTTTCAGCTGCTGCTGAGAGAACCCTACAGGGGAGGAGCTGGGTGAATCCGATGTGGGCAGGGAAGGAGATCGGCATTGTGTGGGGGGCAATTACTGGAACCGATCCCCTGTAGGGCTCTCTCTGCAGCACCTGAAAGCCAGCGGGAGAAAGAGGAGGGGAAGCCGGATTTCAGCTGCTGCAGAGACAGCCCTACAGGGGAGGAGCTGGGTGAATCGAATGTGGGCAGGGAAGGAGATCGGCATGACAAGGGGGGCAATTACTGGAACCGATACCCTGTAGGGCTCTCTCTGCAGCAGCTGAAAACCAGCGGGAGAAAGAGGAGGGGAAGCTGGATTTCAGATGCTGCAGAGACAGCCCTACAGGGGAGGAGCTGGGTGAATCTGATGTGGGCAGGGAAGGAGATCGGCATGGCGTGGGGAGCAATTACTGGAACCGATCCCCTGTAGGGCTCTCTGCAGCAGCTGAAGGCTGGCTTCTCTTCTCCTTCCCTCTGGTGTTCAGCTGCTGCAGAGAGAACCATACAGGGGATTGGTTCCAGTAATTACCCCCTGGCTGAACCCATCACCCTCCCTGTGCACCACACGCTGTCCAGGCCCCTCTGTGTGCCTCCCCCCACCCCCCCTCGCAGTGCTCCTGGGGTCCCTCCCACTTGCAACCTCAAGCACACAATAGGATCCTTCGGGATGATGAACACAATAAGTGATTGGTACTGATTACTCACTGTATCCATTCATAACTGAAGCATGGTAAACTGTGTTTTTCTTTTTTTTGGGGGGGGGGGGGGGCTGTCAGGTTTGCTGTATGGGGCCCTGTGGTTTCTAACAGCAGCCCTGTCTGTAGGATATAATAATGTGTTTTTTCCCGAGGGGTACATCCTGGCAAAAGTGTTCTTCCACCTACAGGTAGAGTGTGGTGGGCTGAGTCTTCCCATGCCGCCTTCTTCTATTTCTTGGAGGCTCGGATACTGGGACATACCAACGGAGCAAAGTCCACCCTACGAGCCTCACATTCTCCTAGGGAGGGGGTTGGAAAGGCCCAAGCGGGGTACAATGCACATCTCAGTACATAGGGGGCACAGTAAAAACATTTTGCATATTTAGGGGTGTGGTTTAACAGGTTTGTACCTGTAAGGAATACAGGATAGGAATACGGCTAGTCCCATATTTACACCCCCTGTCCATGACAAGTGCCCATCGGTGGTCAACGAGGAAAAGAAGCACGCATGAGATCACTTCATCTCATGCAGAATCTTACAAGAATGATTTACAGCAGTGGTCTCCAGACTGCGGCCCGGGGGCCAGATGTGGCCCTTTGCTTGCTTTTATCTGGCCCTTTGGACATTCTTTCATCTATTGATATCAACAATGGGGCATAATTCCCCCCCTCGCACTGGCACCAATGATGGGGCACTTATTCCTCTCAATGACACCAACGATGGGGCACTTATTCCTCTCAATGACACCAACGATGGGACTCTATTCCTCCCACTGACACCAATGATGAGGCACTAATCCCTCAATGACATCAATGATGGGGCACTATTCCTCTCACTGACACCAACGATGGGGCACTATTCCTCCCACTGATACCAACGATGGGGCACTATTCCTCCCACTGATACCAATGATGGGGCACTATTCCTCCCACTGATACCAACGATGGGGCACTATTCCTCCCACTGATACCAACGATGGGGTACTATTCCTCCCACTGATACTGATACAAATGATGGGGCACTATTCCTCCCACTGATACCAATGATGGGGCACTATTCCTCCCACTGATACCAAAGATAGGGAAGGCATTGCTTTTTCCCAATGACGTTGGAACCTTTTCTATTCCCAATGGCCAGTCCAGCCCCCCTAAAGTCTGAAGGACAGTAAACTGGCTCTTTGTGTTTGGAAGTCTGGAGACCCCTGGTTTAGAGTGATGTCAGATGGGTAGATTTACGAGAATGGGACACGTCAGGTATTGAGTTCTGTTTATATTGCCAATCATTTTAAAGCATAGCCAAAAAACTTATAGGCCTCACTGACATAGGTGTACTAAAAGTGTTACTAAACCCACAACAGTACAATCGGTCTGTAGATGCAGTAAAGCATGCTTGTTATACTCACTGTGGGACCTAAGGGGTTAATCTCCTGCATTGTGTAAAAAGGCTGTTTGATCCTGTCTTCTCTTTCCCTTCTTCCAGTGTCCCCAATTCATCTGCTGATATTGTGATGGATATGGTAAAATGCCTATTTGGTTTGTTTTTTTTTATACATTTTTTACATATATACTTTTATATTCTTAGATTTCTAAATGTTTTGTATGAATATACGTGTGTTGTGTGTACATCTGTTGTCTGCTGGTCTTTTGTAGTCCTTAACTCAAAAATTTCTGCTCAGCAACCCCTCACATTGATTGGACTTGAGAACAAAGAAATATTTTCTTTTGTAGAGATAAGACTTAGAAGAAGATCATGCCTATATGCTGAAAGAAGATTGTTTTCGTGTGGAAATTACCAATCAAAGACTAATATAATGCTAATGCTATTCTCACGTGGCTTTTGCATCATTTCGCATATATAATCTCACGTTTTCATTCCAATAAATTAGAAGTTTTCACAGACCTAACATGTGTCAGTGTTTCTTTATGTGCACGCACATTCCAGAGCCAGCAAGAGTAACTAGGACAGGAGCAGATAATCACTGGACACTTTGTCCTCACTAAATCAGCTGATGCCGAAACCCGGGAACTCTGGGTCGTGAACCGCGGACAGCCGACCCAAAAGGGCAAGAGGTATCAATCAAAGCAGACAGGAAAGAGCCTGATCAACTCTGAAGAGCACGGCAAGATATATTTTGCTGTCTTACCAGTGCTTATCCTGTTCATGTTGATTCACTCCTGTGCCTAGTGTGGCTGCTAAACGGAGTCTGCCCGGAGTCTATTTGAACCTACCTGCATGTGATTATCTGTTGTCTGCTTTCTGTTTTATGTATTGTGCTTGTTTTTATGTGTCAGTCTTGAGGTGGGCGAGGAGTGGACCTACTTAGGGTTTGACATATTTCTCTTGGGTGTGGTTACATTGTGTGTTGCCAAACGAGGAGGAGTCCTTTACGCGTCAAGGTAGTGTGACAGCAGGGTGCCGTAGCCTTGTGGGTTGCGAAGAGTTACTCAGTGATCTGTACTCTAGCCCACTAGATAGACTGATATGTCATGTCCTAAATGTGTGTCTGGTTTGATGTTTGATATCCATGACGACGGTTGGGGTTTATTAAGGGTTAAAGAGATAGGATATAGTCCGGTATTGTTAGGACGTCGGCCTCTGTTTTCTGATTTGCCTGAAGTGTTAGTTTTCCGCCTTAATGTGCATTACCCAGTAAGGGGGGGATTGGGAAGTCAATACAGCAAATAGAAAAAGAGGCGAGAGAGGGGGGGCACAGTACAGAAAGGTGCCCTTGCCAACCAGAACAGCTGGAAGATTGAGAACACACCAAACAGCAATGCGTGAAGAGTCTTGGATTTCTTTTAGGAAGACCAGAGACAGGAGGAGATGGGTCAGCAGCTGATAAGGCCCGAGAAAGGAATGTTGGCACGTGAGCTGGTTGCACAGAGAGAGGGGGAACAGTATGTGAAGGGATTAGTTAAGTTAGCAAACATATGTGGTGTCACGATTGCGGCGTCAGACCCCAGACCTTCTCACCAAACTTGTGACCGTAGGACTGGCCGATCTAAAACCACTATGTGACGTGCGTAACAATACCACACCCAGTTGCACCCTGCACAAAGATTTTCCAGCTAATGGACTACAATCTATGTACTTGCAGCCTGGACGTTATTGTTACTGGGTCAGGTTAATTACGCAATTAACCCCTTCGCACTGCCATCACCTCCTTTTTATACAGAGAAAGAGGAAACTCGGCAATCTCAGCAATAACACTATAATGACTGAAATAATTGTCTGCATAACACGGTCATAACACAGGCCTGTTATACGGAGGGTTAAACAAACAGTGGCGTCTCTTTAGAGGCAGGAATTTGTAAATTGCAATTAAGAGTTATAGAAACAGTTCAACACTTTCAGAAGAAAGATTTATTACTAAAAGGGTCAAACAGGTGCAGTAAAATATTTACAGAGAAGATGTAACTAAGATATAGAGCTATATATATATACACAGAGTAATACAGATAACAGAAAGAAGTTTAGGTAAGTAAGTACTTGCCAAATAAATGCCTGAAGTTAAGCAGTTTCAATTCTGATGAACTCAAAAGGATTTCTGGTCTTGCACTCAGTTGCGATGGTACAACAAGACTCTCGGTCAGCTTGATGGTACGGAGCCAACGTCCTCACTTGCCTAACTGCTCACACAAGAACTAACAGTTTCTTTTCTACCCAAAAATCAATTGGTATCTTCTTACAACAGCAAGCTTATTGCCTTATTTGGGAAAAGGATGCCATAGACAGCCCCTTAGCAAGGTACACTGAACGCATTCTGGAGGGAGGGGGGGAAATCGGAGGAGGAAGCCTGATTTGGAGTTTGAGAAAAATACCAAAATGCAGAGATTTAGGAGCAATGAAGGACCGCGCCCCTCTCTGTGTGCATGATTGTGACATATGGAACTACAGATAAGGGAGGCCGACTACAGCCAGAAGCATGGCAGAAACTAATAAAAGAAAATAAGGTGTCTTAGTTGACAATAATTTACTGACAGCAGAAGCTTGGTATAATGTAGCCAAGGCTATCCACAAAGAGCAGTTGACAGAAGAGGTATTGCAACAGGGAGGGAAAACTGTTTATGTATACCACCAATGTGTTAATATTGCAAAGGGACACCCACCGCCCTTGTATTTGGTCTGCAGACACTGGGCTCTGCCCTTCGTTTACTGCCCTTTCTGCCCTGCCAGTGCACTTCCTGATGGCGGCCATCTTGCTGCACCTGTATTGTCACTTCCTGTCCAGCCCAGTACACTTCTTGATAGTAGCCATCTTGCTGCACCTGTATTGTCACTTCCTGCCCAGCTCAGTACACTTCCTGGAGGCGGCCATTTTGGTACACCAAATCCAACATCCGGAAGGCCTACGCCTCGAGTGAGCCGCCTCTACCCAGTGTGTCCGGTCTTACAAGCCGATGGTACATTCTACGTACCGCCAGATGTGCCGCGTGTCCCCACCATGCCAGTCCTTGAACCTGACACGACCGCTGGTCCCGTGAGAGACAATTTTGTCCCCAATAGACCAAAAGGGAGCAAACATTTGCACTCAGGGTCAACCTGGTAAGACATATCTTCTTTGCATGAGGAGGCCGCAGGTCTGGAACTTCTTACACTATACACACACGCTTCTCCAGATGCCCCTTGTAGGCCACAGGCGACAGGAAGGACTCCTCAGACAGGAAGACTCCACACCCCGGCAGCTGCAGCGGTGCTGTATGTCATCTTTACTCCATCCCAGGCCT